CTATAATATGAATCAAAAATCTCATTTTTTGTTAAAAGTCCCCGGAACCCATTTTTAATAGCAAAGCTCCCATATCAAGAAAATTATTTTCATATAGATAAAAGAAAGTGTTTTTATCATCAATTGAATTTTCAACTTTAGTCCAAAATTCTTGCTAAAAAAAAATTATTTGTTATTAAAAAATAAATAATATGTTTGAAACATTATTACTTTTTTACCTCCGACTCATTTCTGTTAAATGGTGTGATATTGGTATATCTGATGTTACGTAATAATGCTTTCCAAGCATGAAATTCTCTCTTTTTAAACTGATACTTTTTGGATATATATATATAAGAGTAATATATAGTTCTATTATATTACATTGTTGTTCTTTCCAATTAAATAGAAACTCATACTAAGCAATATTAACAGGTGTAAATTTGTATTAATTATGTTTATATAATTGTATCATCATAATTTTATTGTTCTATTCATTAATTATACAAGAAGGTGCTTGAAGACTATTTATTAAATTTTGGGTTTTCTTATGACTAATTCCAAATCTTGTAATATTTTGACTTTTCTCCAGACATCATTGGGATTATTACCAATATATATGGACTTATTTTGCTTATTTTGATATAAGGTTACTGAACAATGGCGTTGGTGAATTTCCTTTACAAATAATGTTTGTATTTACTGTTCGCCAATTGCATAAATAAAAGATGACACGTATCCTGGACCTGCGTATTTCAAATCTTTATGATCAGAAATTCCTATCATCCCAACAAATGTCTGTAATTTTCCAACTGTCAGTATAAAAGGTTGAAAAGGAATATTATCTAAATTTTGTTTACTAATTTTCTTATTATTATTATAACCACATATTAGCGGACCAGAAAATCTTGTTTTCGAACTAAATATTTTCTGGTACAAAAAGTTAATCGCCCCAGAAGGAGTATTATCAACAGAGCTAGCAATACCTTTTGCTTCGCATATATAACCAGGCTGAAGGGCAGAAACCGAATTTCCTATAGTAATTGTAAAGTCAGTTTCCTTAATTGTAACTAGAGGTTTCATCCCTAAGCGTATATGATATAATATGTTGTCACGTGACTGCCACCAAAAACGTCCTAACGCCCCATAATGTAATTCTTCGTCCAATTTCCCTACAGTCACTAATTAATGAAACATTATATTGTTTACATTTACTCATTATTTTAAATGTTTTTAAAGAATAATAATTCCAAGTAACGAGAGATTGCAATTATCACCGCTGATCATTATAAATTTATTCAAAATTTTATGTTTTACAGGCAGATCACGAATTAATCAATCTTGTAAAAAGGATTTAACACATCCATTGCGTAAAGTTTAATGTATCGTTTTTAAATTGTTTATTTAAAAACTATGATATAAACTTTGTTATTTAAAACATTCTTTTCCTCTTTTATATATTTTATATTTAAAAGTATATAATACCATTGACTTGAAAGATTTTATCCCAAATTTGTGTTTTAGATCAATAAATAATTTTATCAAATCATTTCCTTATAGTAGTTTTAAACGATAACATATCTAAAGCATTTTAATAAGTACTTTTTCAGAAAAGAATTTTTCATATAAAAATAAAGCTTTAAAGAAACATGACTATTTTAATTTTTTGAATTGTATTTCCAGTGATATTTCTTTATGTTAAAAAACTTCTGCTCTATTTTTGTAGAATAATGATGTATTTTCACTAAATTTTATACCATACATCTATCTTGTCATGTTCAACTTTTCCAATAAAAATTTTCAAAATTAATTTTATCCAATATTCCAAGAAAAAAAGATATTTTGCGAATTAGAAGTATTAAATTAACAAAGGGAGTTTTTTCTATATGCTGCAACGAAACACCATAATATTATCAGAAAAACTTTTCTTGCTTACTAAATTTTTTCTCCGCTCCTTGTAAGCTTCCTATGTAAATTTCAAGTTGCTGTGAGCAATAGTAAAAATAGTAAATAATTTCTGTTTATAATCTGATGGTAAACTGGTATACAAGTCTTTACATACATATTTGTTAGAGGTTCTGGATCGTTCGTGACTATTCACTCTCACTTTTTCTGCGAAGAAAAACATCTTTTGATCACAGTTAGTCAGTCAAAAATTCTTGGTGTAATTCCTTACATTGATCCAAAAAGGTTCGATAAAAGAAGAAAAAGCGACAATACACCACAACCATACACACTAAATGTAAAAAGTGATGTTTACAGTATTGGCGTGTTGCTATGGGAAATAT